AATCTCCTCCCCTCAGAAGCAGCCTAGGATTCAACTTGCTAAATTTCCAACAGTGCTCTTCTTTCACATGCATTTCACTCACAAATCCCCGTATGACTGGCTTGCTTAAGGCTGCTCAGGTAAGGAAGCTGAGCGACACTAACAAACTCAAATTACTTGGCGCTGTGGTGAGAACATAAAATGGGCATAGATTTTTAAATCCCCTTACAACTCTGCCTTCTCAGCAATGAAATTTGTATAAAATGAGTGCCAGGCCAAGTTTGTGCCACAAATATAACATTTGCCTGTGTGGTACTGATTCCCAGTGAAGCAACTGAGGGTGGCTGGCACAGTCAGGTGTGCCAGAACAGGCATCGAAGAGCAGAACCTGAACTACAGGGGCCATCTCCAGGCACTAAAAGAATCCATAGCAAACACTGACTGCTAGGAAGGCTGGAACAGGAGTCAGATATGGCTCCATAACTGTCCCATGGTCTTTGCAAAAGTCAGCAAAGGTTCATATTTTACACAGACATACGATACCAAACATGAGAACCAACAGGCTGAGTAAATTAAATTCATGACACATAACTGAAATGGCTCTCACCAGATGCAAAATGGTACAAACCAACTGAATCACATTTAAGAAAGGACAAGTTTGTCTAAAACTGCTCCTTACACTGACTTTCTTCAGTATTCCTCCCAGAGAAAGTAAAAATTTTAGATAAAAAGATTCAGATTGGATAGTGGACACTTGAAATCTCAGCTCTTCAGGAGGTGGAAATAGCAAAATCATTATTTGAAACCAACCCAGACAAAAGTTAGTGAGGCTCCCACCTCAACCAGCAAGCCAAGCATGGGGGTACATACCTGCAATCTCACCTATGCAGGAAGCTGTAAGTAGGAGGATCACAGTCTGAGGCATCTCTGGGCACAAACACGAGACCCTAGCTCAAAAAACACTAAAAGCAAAGGACTGGTGGTGTGCTGAAGTTGTAGAGGGCTTGTCTACCAAGCTCAAGGCCTGAATTAAGCCCCAGTACCACAACAGAAAATTATAGATTATGGATATTATCCTGTTAATATAAGTGTATTCAAATATCTTTGCAACATGTGCTTGCATGTACAGAGGACCACAAGAATATTTACCAAACTGTAAACAGTAGTTATTTCTAGGTTCTGGCATTGCAGCCAATTTTTACTTGTTTTTGTATTTTTTTTATATCTTCCTAGTTTTACAATGGTTGATTTTACAAGGAGTATGTATCATTTTTACTAAAACATAAGTCTCTTTTTCTAAAATGTTGCTTGTTTCATCAAACACTTCATCAAAAACAGAAAAAGATGTTTTGCTTTGGGAATTATCTTAGGAGTAATAATGGCTTTTCACCAGTTTCCCTTTTTACATGTTCATCCTACCACTCTAGAACTGTCACCCTCAATTGCCTGACTACCTGGTGTCAAATGAGGTCACAAGTCTTAGGACATTGATGGATAATAGTGTTTCATTACCAACAGACACCCCTGGCCCCTGTATCCTCCAACCTGCAAAGCTTGTTGACTTCTGTTACTGTGCTGGCAGACTATGGCACAGAATAGTCATGTAGCTTTTTTGACTAATGGCAACTGCTTCCCAGATTTACAAAGCTATATGATAACATTGACTACAAACTACTTGATGTGGAGCCTCTCATTCCCTAGAGATCTGTTTAAAGCATGTGTTTGCATCCTCACAAATTAGATGTGACAGAGGTTTTCTTGGTCCTACTCAAAATGTGATCTGGAGATTGGTGCTGATCCATAAACAGACATGAATCAAAGAGATAAGACTAAGATTTAGAAACTTGTACAGCAATTTGAAAGAGCAATTTTATGTTGTTGATCAAAGATAAATTAGAGCTTAATGTGCATGTTTTTAAATGTTCACTTTTAGTAATTGCTTTGTTTTATAAAAAAAAACTTCGTAAGAATTTTTTAAAGTTCCATTTAAAAATGGTCCTAATTTTTTAAATGATCTTTTCCCCCACTTTGAGAAGAGCTGGTTTATAAAACTTACGTAGAACAGCAATGGATATGAGAATATAGTTTCCTACTACTACCACAACAAATTACCAGCAGCTTTGCAGCTTGAAACCACACAAATGTATGATCTCAGATGTGTGGGTCACACATCTGGATGGGCTTGGCTGGTTTTTCTTCTCAGTCTCACAGAACTAAAATCAAGGTGTCAGCCAGCTATGCTCTCATCCAAATGAGGTAGGATAGATGAGGGGAACAGGCCACGAGAAGCAGAAACCAGGAATTCAGAAATAAATGTTGCATTAAGGTATAACTTGACTAGGCATGCACAAATACTATTCTGTTTTTTTAAGCTTCTGGAATTAACCAACTTATTAGACTTAATGTCTCCAAGCTGAACTGATGTCAAATTACTATACCAATAGGAATGGCTGGGATGTACCAGGTGCCTAGAACAAATGAGACCACTTACTCAAAGGAATGTTTAACAGGACTCCCTACCCAATTCTTCCCGGCATTTATACCCCTGCTAAACCAGCTCTTTTGAATCCTTCCTATATACCCATGCCTTGCCTATGAGGTACATCTGTATTTCTTGCTTTACTTGCTCAATAAATTTGTGTCTTACCCAGCATCTCAATTTTTCTTTTTTCCTGCAGAGAAAGAACCTCAAGGGCCAAGATGAAGTTCCCCCCTCCCTCATCTTCTTTCCTTTCAGAGACTTCCATGAGACCCTCACCAACCCTTGGTGACACAAACATATCCAGATGTTAGCCAAATCCAGCAGCTTCTTGTGACTATAGGACTGACACCCCATTTACTTGCTTCCTGTCAGCTTCACAGTCAGCTAAAGTTTCTCTCTGATTCCCTATGTCCCAAAGATAGCAATGGGGCACTGAATCTTCTCATGCTTGAATTTTTCTAATTCCAACCCCTCACCACATCTCTTATCTCCAGCAGTTAGCATATTCTCTTTTTAAGGGCTCCTAGGATTAGGCAATCTCCCTATTTTAAGGTCCACAGTCTTAATTATATCTGCAAAGTCCGTTCTCATGTAAAGTGACATAAACATAGATTCCTGGAGTTAGGATGTGAGTAAATCCCTGTGAAGGAGCCATTCTGTGGCCTACCAGATAGGGAAGATGAGTCCAGGAGTCCTCACATATTTGCTTCATGTAGGGAACCTAAAGTTTAAAGCCAAAGGAGAGAAGGCTACAATGATGAGACAACAGAGGAGGTAACATCAAGGGCAAATCAAATTCCATGGGCAGCTGGCTGAATGCTGGAAGTCTGTTTCCTTTCAGTATCATTGGCTGTTACTGAATCGAAGAGTTTCCTTTTGATTGCTCCAGTGAGCATATCAAGGAACAGCAGGCAAATGGTGGTGGCCTTTATGGCAGGGCTCTGTCCCACTAACCATGAAAGACAGGCAGAAGACAGGACAACATGCATGTACAAGAGTGAAAGACATGAAAAATGGAAGCTGGTAAAACTTATGAAGAAAAAAGGTGAAGAAACAAGTTAACCATGGTTGTACCCTTAGGAAGCAAAGTTCGGAATTTAAGCAAAAGCCTTTAAATTTCTTCAGTATAGAAGAGGAAGCTAAGCCAGCTGACAAGATGAACAAAGACTGCACCAGTCTGAATCCCCAGAATGTTCAATGGGCCTAATCCTGGCATTCAACGACACATGGCTTAATCATCTCATCTCTTCTGGATGGTCACAGGCACTCCTTCATTTCCCAGCTTTCTCCTCTTCAGCCTGTCACTTTGGATACCAACTTCTAAAGCAACATAATTGTCTTATTCCTTCATTTTCACTTCCTCATTTTAACTCAAACCTCAAACAAAAATTAATTTACCAGCAATAAATCAATCCAGGGTCTTGCTTTTTGCCTAGGCTGACCTGAACCATAATCCTCCCATTTTAAGTTTCCCACCACAGCTGGGATGACAGGTACGCACCACCATGCCCAGCTCTTTTCTATTGAGATGGGGTGTGGTGACCTTTTTTCCTTGGCTGCCTCAAACTTCCAAACACTCGATCTCAGCCTCCCAAGTAGCCAGGATTACAGGCATGAGAATCACTGGCACTGGCTCCAAGTGATTATTTTTAGTTCCTGACTAGATCCAAAGTAATACAAATGCCAATTTTTTGAGGTTATCATTGGCTATCATTCTTTGGGATTAATTTTTAATAACTGAAAGCTAAAGAATTAGGTTTTTATTTACAATTTAATCACAATTTTAAGGGGTTGATGGCATAAGCCAGTCAACTTTCCATTCACTTTCCATTCTCCATAACATGATCTATTACATATATGTAATAGAATAGTATATTTCAACTACCAAATATATTTTCGCTTAAATATATTTTTTATGTTTTCTATATACAAATTACCTCATGTGTTCTGCTCACTCACTTGCTCCCCACACACACTAATCAATTCCACTGGTGAGAAAGGACCTAAGGAAACTGAGATACACTAATTGTAACACACTTTACAAACTCACACTGCTAGTAAGTAGGGAGCCAAGATACAAACCACATAGTCTCAAATTCTGTATTCATAATTACAATGCTATGCTGCCACTCACAGTATATGTATTTGATTCCACTTTAAGATAATAGGCAGAAGTTGCTGACTTCACCACTATTGTTAAATAGTCTACTGCTTGGTCAGTATTTCCTTCCATAGTATCATTTCCACTGTTTTGTACTGAAAAAAAACATGTGTATACCTACATACATATATACATATACACACACACAGAAACAAGGACAATATACTTTCTTTAGAGGTGTACAAGAGCATACCCATGAACAGAAGTCTACTAAACGCTCTACAGGTGGCTTTATAACATGCTCTCTCGTGCTCAGGTGTATGATCTGCAATCAGTGCCTTAGACCTACTTGCTGAAATAATGAACACGTCACCTACTGTTTACTTCAGAAGAAAAACCCTCAAAAGCATCAACAAAAAACATTAATCCAAATGACACTGGGAAATTTTTATTAACTTAAAATTGACATTCTTAATTTTGTCTATCAAGTCCTTAGCAAATATACCTTCATTTGATAACAAACCTGTGGGTATCTTTTAAAACCACAGAACCATGAAGACTTGCAGTTATCAGTGTTTTGTTTTGATTAAAACAATGTTTAATAATTAACATTTACCTCACTGAAATACTTAAAAGAATATTCTAAGGAGTGTTTGAAAGCTCTGTTTATAAATAGTGACTGATACATTTATTACATATTTGGTGATGAAGATAAACTTTTACTTCTTATATAAAACATTTTTAACATACTGCTCTCCAGTGAAGCTAGATATTAGATATATTTTAATACTAAAGAATAAAGCTTTGCTTTTATATTTATTTATTTATAGGACTCGTTTCAATGAAAAACTTTGTATCCAAAACAATAAACAAGCATACTGCAAGTGACATTCTGTAGGAGAAGCAAAAAAGATGTCTGCAACAAAAGAAACTAGAAATTTGCATTATACTTTTTTTTATACAAACTACACATCTGAACAGTAGAATTAAATGCAGACCTAATGCTTTCCAAGGTTCGTGTGCTTACTGGCTATTATATTCTTCACACACTAAAAGAATACGGACAAAAACACAGAACACGGTATTTTTAAGATTATAGCACATTTAACATAGTCCACCATCCACTGGGTTCTTGGATCAGATTGGCAACTGAAATTTCACATCCACATGAGCTTGCTTAGCTAAGGTCACTATTTCAGAGAGCTTCACAACCTGTAAGGAAAGAACAAAATGCCTTTGTCTCTATATTCATAAAAAGATAAATTCACAACTACATATCAATGAAAAATTAATGCACAATCTTTTCCATTTAAAACACCAGAGCTATTGTAAATTATTATAAATCACATTGCATTCTTACAAGGAACTGGCACTCTCAAAGCCCTGTCAAGTCTGATACTCTTCATATCCCACCCTTCAACTAAAAGCTTTCTGAAAAAGACATAGGTAGGTAGATTTCATTTATCTTGAAGACAAAAACAGTGAATATCTTTGTTGGACACCCCACAATTCAAAGTACAGCTAAACAAAATCTATTGTGAAAAAAATATACAACTTTAACTTACAATATTGCAGTAGGAGTTTGAGTATAGGAGTATTACACTTTCTATCAACCAAAATTCCAGTGCCCTCTTTATCTGAGAACATCCACCTGGTTCCATACACAATGTCATACAAATTATAATATGTCTAAACCAAACTTCAGCATTTCTCTTTCCTAGTAGATTAGTTACAAAAAAAAAAAGGGAGAGTATAGTATAGCTCAGTGCTAGAAAGCTTGCCTAGCTACCAGGTTCAAACTGGAGGAGAGGGGAGGAACAGGGACAGAGGGGGAAGGGAGGGATGAAAAAAGGAAAAAAGAGTTTGAAGTTAGGCATCTTGGATTCAGATTGCCAGTCTGACACTTTGACATATGACTCTGAATAAGTTAACTTATATAGCCTGTTTCCTCAGCCATATAATGGGAATTTTATCACCAAACTTATGAGAGAATTCTTAGAAAAAATAATTTACCATACTCAAAAAATGGTAGCAGTTACTAACATTATATTTAATATTATTTTTATGACTTCATAAGTAAAACAGCTCTGCCAACATTCTAACTAGTATTACTTCTATAAGCTAAAATAAAGCCAGACATGGTGGTTCACACCTATAATCCCAACTACTTGCTGGGAAAATAACCTATTACCTACCTGTGCATTACCTCGTATCAAATTTTATACTATACAAACTCCTACTATCTTTAAAAATCTCTTTTCTCCAACTTATTCCACATCTCACAGTCAAAACAGGCTCTCTGAAACACTTTTTTGCTCAAAATCTTTAATTGATGATTTAGTATAAATCAGTATCATTCCTAATTTTATTTGCTAATAGGTGCTTTCCCAAAGAAATACCTTTATCATTCTTATGAAATGATACATTAATTTAGCAAGTTCAAAAGTATATTAATTAAACTATATACCCCAAAGAGTATTCAATATCTACAAAGGTAGAAGACAATCAAAGGTTGTCATCTAGAAACACCTCTGTATCTACTATGAAGCATTCTCTGAAATACATTAAGGAATGGAAATAAAGTAAATTATATGCTATTTATCTAAAGTGAGGAAAGGTTTCTCACACATGCACATGTACTTACACACACATAAAATTTGGTAAATTTAAAAATAAGTGGAAGAATAAACCAAACACTAGTTTTAAAAAAAGACAACAGCTACCTGTGAGGAAGAGGAAACAGGAAAGTATATAAAAGCTATATTCTCTGAGTATACCCTACTTTACAGTCTTGACTTTAGACTCACGTAAATATTTATACAATATAAACCATAGCATTTTTTAAAAGTCTCTTAAAAATAAAATTAATATTGAGCTGGGCAAAACACACAGAAATGCTGCACATGAATTTTAAAATCCAGTCAGTTGTGGAAAATGCCCTAAAAGACAGAAAGTACTTCAGCAAAACTCTTAAACTGCTCTCAGAACTTAAGACTGTTGACATTCTGACTGTAAAACTGTCATATTTGTACCAAGGGACAAAGTGAAGGAATGATTATGATAGTATAGCATGGGGAAAAAGAGAAATACAAATCAAATAAGGAAAAACAAAAACAAAAACCTTGTACTCCTGGATTTGCCCTGGAATTATCAGTATGAACTTATGCTTTCTCTTTAAAAAAAAAAATACATATTTTCCTAAGCTTAAAAAGACCCAAAACAATAACCAACTCAGCAGCTGTGAGTACCCAGAAAGCCCACAATCTGGTCTCTTGATACTATTTGGCTCATTCCACACCTGGCCAATAACACAGAGATGAACATGAAACATCTCATCATACCAGGAAGTTCAGCAGTGGGCATGTCTGGGCTCAAAAATTAACCTGAAGAGGTTCCCACTGACCAAAGAGGAACAATTTGATCAATAGTAATAACTAAAATGAACTAAATCACACCAAATATATTTAATTTTAATCCTCGAGTTCAAAATAGCATAGCAGCACAGTGGATGTGTGCCTGTACACACACATACACACACCCCTGAGAACAAAAAATAAGGAAACAAAATATAAAAATTAAAAAGCTTAGGTCAACTTTATAGGACATAATGGAAAAAATTACTGCTTTGAAAACTAGTCAATAAAGACAGAGAAAACTATATAAAATGTACTTCTTGGTAACAAATAGTTAATACAGGGAAGTGTCACTTTTTAGAGTATTCTAATGGAATGATAAAATCAGAATGTCATCACTTTGCAACCATAAATGAAACCCAGGATCTATGGTATGAAAATCAACGACTGCTAATACCACTAAAAGAGGAGGCAACACCAAATATTTTTGTTACCTACTCCCCAAAATCTAATAATGGATATAGTCAACACTCTAGACTGAACTGCCAGTTCACAGGAAACACAGAGGAACACGCTACATGAATGACACCCATGGAAGCAATCATTAAAATCCAGATTATGGGAGACTGTACAGGATCATCAACCTGGAGTAGTTCCTTATGTGCACAGTACTTAGCCAAAGCACTAACAATTAGAAATATTAATAATTAGCTGCTTCATGTTAGACTCAAAGTGTTTATAAATCCTTTACACACTATAAACTTATCCATAGACTAACAGGAGCCATTTACCATTCTAGCAGCTTCATCCAAGTCATCACAAGCAAGAATTTTAAGTCCACTGTCTGCTATCAGTGCCTTAGCATCATCAACTCGTGTACCTGGAAATGATTTATACAAATATAAAGAAATGTTTTAAATATATACACAAAAGCATTTAAAACTGCTGGTACAACATATTATAAATTTAAAAGTTCAACACAGGAATACTTCCATCATGTAACAGAAATACTTCTAAAGCAAAGAAAATACTACAAAAGCATAAAGCTACATTGTAAATTGTTTTTTGTCTTACCATATCCATGGTAATTAAGATAAGTCAGAATTTCAGAGAAATCACAATAAATTAAAAATTATACCAAGCAAAACTATGAACAGTTTTGCACCAATGTTTTTTTAAACTAGCTTTAACTTTCATATTATATAATGCTATCATTTAAAAACACAACTATTTGTAAACTATATTTTAAATGAACTAACACCTTTGTAATTAATGAACTTTAAAGCAAGTAGAACAACTACAAGATATCTTTAACACTCACCTTGTAACCGTACCACAACAGGTATTTTAATTTCCAAATCTTTTACTGCTCTGACTATACCCTGTGCAATAACATCACATCGCATGATTCCTCCAAAAATGTTGACCAGAATAGCCTGTACCTGTCAATAAAATGTTTCCAGTTCATTAAAAGGTAAAGAAATGAGTATTTAGCCTTCCCTTCCAAGGAAATAATAGGATCTGTGCTTCCCAAAAATTAACTGCATGGAAACATTTTCAGTTCAAACCACCACCTCCCCCCACTGCCCACCAGAACTAATTTCTACTTTCTTAGGTAATTTCAACACCTGGTTTATATACTATTTTCAACAATATCCCACTTGAATAAGACCTCCTAATTCCACTTACTTTTTCCTATTAAACAGTCATTCACCAAATGACTATCTCAGTTCATATCTTAAGACACAATATCACATGCAAGATATCCATTAGTGTTCATTACCTACCATCTCTTCTTTTATCCACAACAATACAACCAGTTTTTTGATACAACCTGTGAGAATCTCTCAATTTTTCTTGCGTGCCCTCTCCTGGCTGTCCGTCATCTTTAAACCTCAGGGCCTACTTGGGTCAGTCTTTTACCCATCTCACTGTAGTTTTGAATCAGTATTCTTCTATCCTCTCCCCAACAAAAAAAAAACCTTTTAAGAGGCTAATTAGGCTGGGCCCACACCACCAGGCAAATAGTTCATGAGACCCTATCTGGGAAAAAACCCATCACAAAAAAGGGCTGGTGGAGTGGCTCAAGGTGTAGGCCCTCAGTGCAAAATGTTAAAATACAAATGTATTACAGTTACACCAAAATACTGTCTCCCTCAATTCTTAGGGCAACTAGGAAAGTTCCAGTATAGCTGGAATCTTTAGGCCAGCAGACTCTTATCACAGACAACCTTGTCCATTTAGACCCCATTTCACTAGTTTGTTTTCTTGTGGTGCTGGGGATCAAACACAGGGCTTTGTACATGTTAGGCAAGCACTCTACCACTGAGCTCTAATCCTGGTCTGAAATATTTTCTGTGAATGCCAATGATGTAAAAATGGCTGAGACACACTGAGCTATATACTACGCATTCCTTTTCTTTACTATTACATCTAGAGCTTCAAGAAATAAAGATATAGGCTGGTGGAGTGGCTCAAGTGGTACAGCATCTGCCTAGCAAGGGTGAGGCTCTGAGTTCAAACCCCAGTGTTGCCAAAAAGAAAAAAGAAAAAGAAATGAAGACAAGGGCTAAGTATGATGGCACACGCTTATAATCCCAACTACTTGTAAAGCAGAAATAGTAGGACGGAAGCTCAAGGCCAGCCTGACAAAAGTTAGTGAGGCCCTATTCCACAAACAAGCCAGGCATGGAGCATGTGCTTCTCACCTCAGTTACTGGGAAGGTGGAGGAAGAAGGCACTCTCACTTGAGCCACTCTCCCAGCCTTACATAGGTTATTAGTAAGTGTTTATTACTGATGTTGCTGGCACTGTCCATTTCTGTGGTATTAATACTCTAGAATTCTTTAAAAGACAATTCTATTTCATTTCCTTTCCCTTTGATTCTATAGTGTTATTTACTATATTCATTAATTTTGCTAAGAGGATTCAAGTAAACTAAGACATAAAATGTGCATTAGTTCACTGGGTGGTGATGCCTGCTAGAATGCAGAGGCAAAGTAGAAAAATAGGTTATTTCTGAATGAATGTGCTCAGTTTGGGTTATGGTAATATATTTAATAGACAGCTGGTTGTAAAGATACAAGCAATAGTGATTACAGGTATATTTGAGAGTCCTTAGGATATTGAGAAAAGCTGAGGTCTTAGGAGTTGGTGAGATGATCAAACCAAGAATGGAACCAGGCCCCTCAGTATTAAAAGGCTGAATAAAAAAGGAAGACCCAATGCAAGAGAAAGAGAACAAACTGAAAGATAAAAGTAGGTCCTGGGAAGGTAGTAACACTGAATCCAAGGCAGAGTTTGAGAAGCAAGGTGACAGGCAACAGTGTTAAATGCTATAGAAGTGGCCAAGCAGAGTAAGTACTGAAAGAGTTGAACCTTACTACAAATAACCTATGTGTACACTAGGCATCATACCAGCTACTGTGAAATGTAACAGTAAGTGAGACATGACCCCTATCCATGAGGAATTCTCAGCTTAAGTTACATACAACTACATCCATGGAGGTCATTATTTTACTTTCCTACAAGCCTTACAATACCCACACCTGTCACACAGGAGATAGCACTTCTTATCTGGTGAGTAATAATAATAATACATGTCTTAAGATTATGATACTTTATATCCCTTAAATTTTGAGAATCATTTGTAAATAAGTAGTTGTAAATTGTGGCACATCTGGAAGGTAGATTATATGAACATCAAGATGAGTGTTTTAGAAGAATAACTTTATTGAACTGCAAAAAAATTCAAGATATGTTAGCAAAAAAAAAATACTAAAAATACACATATTAAAAGATATATAAATGGGTGAAATGCGTAACTGTGAATTAAGCCTTACAAAAGCTGTTTCTAAAAAGATATATATGAGGACTGGGGGTGTGGCTCAAGTGACAGAATACATGCCTAGTTCAAACCCCAATACTGTCAAAAAAAAATAGATAATATATATAATGTAATATGTGTGTGTAAAATATATATGCATAACAAGTCTTAAAATAAGCAGAATTACAGGTGATTATTTTTTTCTTCTTTGTAGCTTTATATATTATCCTGATTTCTGGACCATTGTGGTCAAATAATATCTCTAGAAATTTTTTCTGGCTCCCATGCCAGAGCATCAACACATTTATAGTATCATACTATGCCATCTAATATTTGTTCACCTTGTTTGCTAAGTCACAAGGTTAACTGTCAACCTGGACAAAAGTTCTCTGGCTAACTTTTATGCACTTGAAAGATCTTAACTCCTGTTTCCAAACAAACTATTGAGATCTTTTGAATTTTAATGGTCATCTAGCATGACACCTACTAAAGTTACTTCTCACAATTCCAATTCTAAAGCACAAGTCCTGCCCTTACCTTTTTGTCTGAAGTGATGAGTTTAAATGCTTCTGTTACTTGATGGACCGTGGCACCACCACCAACATCTAGAAAGTTGGCTGGAGTTCCTCCATGAAGTTTTATTATATCCATTGTGGCCATAGCCAAACCAGCACCATTTACTGTCAAGAGGGAAAGAAGATGTCTATAAGCAACAACAGAGAGAACAAATTAAGCTTAGTGAAGCCAACTGCAACATAAAAACACATGGTACCCAAGCAGCCTATATTTCCATCAAGGCCAATGTAGTTGAGATCTGCCTTAGCTGCTTCTTTGTCCCTTTCATCTTCCTGGGTCCAGTCCTGAAGGTCAAAGATTTTCTTTTGGCGATAGGCTGAATTAGAATCAAAATTGATCTTTGCATCCATACACAGCACTTTAAGAGAAAAAAGAAAGTGATCTTAGCTTCAAGACAGATACAATAAACTATCTAATGACCAACTATTATTTAGTTTAGGGAAAAACATTCTATTTTTCTACTTCTTTAAAATATCCCAATATGTTCACAATGAATTCAACTGTTTTACTGTTGTTGTTGCTTGTTTGTTTTGTTTTTTTGTGAGGTATGGGGACTTGAACTCAGGGCCTACACCTTGAGCCACTCCACCAGTCCTTTTTGTGTTAGGTATTTTCGAGATAGGGTCTCGTGAACTATTTGCCTGGGCTGGCTCAGAACCGTGATTCTCCTGATCTCTGCCTTCTGAGTAGCTAGGATTACAGGTGTGAGCCTCCAGCGCCTGGCTCAAAAAAGAATGGATGGAAATTTAAAATGCCCCAAATTACTGTTTCTACATCCATTCTAGGCACTAGATAAAGAAGAAAGAAAACAGAAAGAATCTTAAGCATTTTAAATCTTTAAAAACTTTCCAAGAATATCCAAGCTCCTATCTAACCCTTCACTTGGGCTCCAGATTGCATCCCCTCATTACTCAAGGGCATTGTTGCAGCAATTCTACATTTTAAGTCCACTCCCCTAACTTTTCTAATGGCTACATCCCACTATCTTATAAAAATACTATTACTTCCCCACCTTATATAAAAAGAAAAAAAACTTACTCAATTCCATGCCCACCCACATTCTTTGCTTCCTAAACAGCAGAATTCCTTAGAACACCTGCCTGAAAATAAGGACTAGCAAACTATGGTCCATGAGCCAGATCTGACATGTGCTTGTTTTTATTATGACCTACGAGCTAAAAATGGGTTTTACATTTTTAAAGGATTGTGAAGAAGAAAAATGAGGAGAAAGAAGAACAAAAATAGGAAGACAGCAGAACCCAACATCTAGGTGACCCAAAAGTTTAAAATATTCATTAACCATCAAGCCCTGTGTTTAACTCCTTATACCAAATTTTTCTCCTGCCATTCTCTTATATCCAGTCCAATCAGCTTCTATCTCCAGCAGAAAGTTATTTTTTCTGAAAGTGATTTCTCTAACTTCATTTTCCAGTACTGTTACCTCTTCCTCACTCCATCTATCTACAACATTCAACTTGCAGTTCCCAAACAGATAAATGGCTGAAAGATGTGGGTACTCTCAGCTGCTTTACAACACCAGGGACAAAGTTTTAAGTCCAGCTAAGTTAACTGCCAATAACAGCAGACATCAATATTCTTTCAGAGAAGGATAGAATTCAGTCTTTATACTATATCTCCCAAAACATACAGTTAAAATGAATAGATCTGAAAAGAAATAGGAAATGAGACTACTAGGCAAGAGAAAAAGCACTGAAATGAAACTAAACCCATCTAGCCACGATCTGGAATTATCACTGGACTGTGAAACACCTATCTTGCATACACTCAAGGATTTAAGGGAAAATATGGTCATAATACATCAACAGAGAGGTAATCTCAGCAGAGAATAAGTCTATAAAAAAGAACCAAATTGAAAACATATGTAATATCTGAAGTGAAAAATTCACTGGATGGGCTTAACAGTAGATTATGATAGTCAATGATCCTAAAGATAAACTATCTGAAAAAGGGAAGCAGACGTCCTCTATTCTGCTGGACAATACCAAGAAGTCTACCACATATGAAACTGAAAGAAGGCATGAAAATGGAGCAGGAAAAAAAAAGTGATAAAAAGAAAAATGTATTAAGCTGGAATTCTATATCCAGTGAAAATATGCTTAAAAAGAAAGGTGAAATAGACATTTGCAGACAAATGGAAACAAAAGTCATCACTAGCAGATTTACACTGAGAAATGCTGCAAGTCCTTCAGACTCAAGGAATATAATGTGTGGGAACTTGGATCCATGGCTGTGGTTCCCAACCATGGAAGTTTTCTCCCACAAATTCTAGAAATGAATTTATCCCCAATTTCATTTCTAGAAGAATTTATGGTTGTTGCAACAAGGGGTATTATGAGCACCCTTTGCTACTAGGTAAATACACTACTAAACATCCTAAAATGCACAGGATAGCCCTCCATAATGGTAACAACAAAAATCATACACCCCAAAATGTCAATAGTGCCATGGTTGGTAAACCTTATCTATGGGTAGAAAGGAAAACCAAAAATATATGAGCAAGTGAACAAATACATTGAACATAATTGAAGCCAAGTTTATAAATATTAGATATGAGAATTACAAATATTCAAACTGGTAAAACTAGAATGAACCTTGAAGAATTAAGAGTGGAATTAGAAGGATCAGTATAAATTTGGAGACTTTTTTAAAAAAGATATTTTAAGTCTCTTGTATATTTTTACATATATGTAGACACACAATTTGGATCTGTTTAATGAAAAATACTAGAAGAAATGACACATTAGGAGCAATAAGTATGGGTAGCATGTTTATCTTGGGGCTTAAATATTATTTTCCAAATGGAACCAAGACCCTATGGAGAAAAGGTAGATCTAGAAGTATGAAAAGGACAATAAAAGATAAGCATGGAATACCCTGTTGCACAAAAAGTACAGAAATACTCAAACAATGATACAAGAATACCAAAATGACAAAGGGAGGACTCACGATCATACAAAATTTATATGCAGATGTCTGCAGCAGCTTATTAGTTACAGCAAAATACTAAAAACAACCCAAATACCCTTCAAAGGGTGAATGGTTGAAAAAATTCAGGTATACCTATACAACAGAATGCTACTCAACAATAAAAAAGAATAAACTATTGGTACATGCAACAAACACATATAGACTTCAAAGGCATTAGGTATTATAAACCTGAAGATTTCAAAAGAAATCTTTTGATTGTGTGTGTTGTATGACTGCATTTATATAACATTCTCAAGATGGCAAAACTATAAATGATAGAGAGAACAGACTAATAGTTTCTAGGGCACAGAGACAGGGTAGGAAAAATAAGAAGAGTATGTGACTATGCAGAGGTTTAAGAGGAAAGTTTTTTGTGATGATGGACATTCTGGGTCTTGACTATGGTGGCAGTTACACAAATCTATGAGTGGGATAACATACATACGCCTACAAATGACTGCAGGTTTAAAAAATGGTGAAAACTAACCAACAATTAACTGGTTAATATACAGGTTTATATCTGATGTCACTACTGGGCAAAGAGGACAAGATCCTTTATACTATTTTTACCATTTCCTGTGAGTCTATATTTATATCAAAATTAAAAGTTAAAAGAAAACTAAGTAAAATTTTAAAAAGAGGCCACAGGAGCCAGCATGAAAGGGACCACTAAGACAGTCTAAGTAATAAAATATAGCAATGATAAAAATGGAAATTTTTTTGAGACAAGGTCTTGCTATGTTGCCCAGGTTGTCCTTGAACTCATGTGTTCAAGCAACTCTCCTGCCTCAGCTCAGTAGAATAAAAATAGATTATAACTTAAAAAAATAAAAATTAAACAGCCCATTCTAAAACAAACAAATGAGGCGGAAAAGGAAAGCTCTTCTTTGTACTCAGGTTATGTAAGAAAAAGTTCTTATTTTTAGGCAATGAAATATTAAAGAGTAATGTCTTCAACTTATTCTCAAATGATTTTAAATATTTATTTTTACATAACTACATAAAATGAAGCAAAATTTAAACAAAGGGCAAAGCTCAGTAAAGTTCTTTTTACTATTTTGTTTCTATCAAAACAAAAATGGAGCAAAAACTCCCATATCACACTGTACTTACAGTAAGCAGTTGTTTAATTCAGCAAAACATGAGTCCTCATATTAAATTGATGCTGATAGGGAAAGAACATTCACGATTCTTATCCTTTCATTTTCCACATGAATTACACAATAATTCATTTTTACATAATTCTTGGACACTTACACTTGTTATTTTTTATGCATTTATTCATATGTGCATACACTGTTTGGGCCATTTCTCCGGCCTACCCCTCCACCCCCTCCCTCTCCCTCCCACTCCTCTCGCTTCCGGGCAGAACCTGTTCTGCCTTATCTCTAATTTTGCTGAAGAGAAAACATAAGCAATAATGAGAAAGACAAAGAGTTTTTGCTAGTTGAGATAAGGATCGCTATACAGAGAGATTCCTAGCATTGCTTCCATGTATAAATGTGTTACAACCCAAGTTGATTCATCTCTACCTGACCTTTTCACTAGATCCTGATCCCCTTCTCATATTGACCTCTGTGGCTTTAAGGTTTCTGTATTAGTTCCTCTGCAGTGGGGACATCAAATACTTTCATGTTTTGGGTTTCTTACCTATCCCCATACCTCCCGTATGTGCTCTCCCCTTATCACAGGACACTTACATTTAAGTCATATATTAACTAAGAAACAACTGACCACTTCTGGCAGTGAGTCCTCCTCACAATGAACACTATTTACCTGCCATGACCTTTGATAAAACTAAGTACAAAGGGCTAGAGATACAGCTTAGTGGTAGATTCCTTGCCTAGCATGTGGAACAAATGCCCTGGTTCAATCCCAGCACCAAAAAAAAGTGCAATGTTCTGGGAACACAAATATGCCTGAGATAAACGATCCTGGCAAATGGCTAGAATTCTGAGGTTTTGTTTTTTTTCAAACGTAACTGAGGGACCAAAGTTGTGAGAAGTTGTATATATTAACATTTTATACTCCTTGAAAAAGCACCTAAGAGGCTTCAAATTCAAACAATGTAACTTCTAAGGCTATAAAGAGACTCTCCCTTCCTATGACAGTTCAAACTGCCATGGCTGAAAGAATGCTGACTCTTCCTAGAACTTGTAAGCCAATCTGCTATGGTTTGGACACAAAGCATTTCCCCTCCCCAACAAAAGATTCATGTTTTGAAGGATTAGTCCCAACTGGTGACACTACTAAGAGTGACTGGATCATGAAGCCAATAATTTCATCAATGAATTAACCTCAATTTTCCCCACACCCAACCTGAGAAGCCCACCCTTCTAATTCTATTTCTGTAAAATTGCACATATATGTGAAATCACACAGTATTTATCTTTACATTATATTAATTGACAAAGGTCAATTAATTGACCTTTGTCAATTAATATAATGTACTCCAGGTTAATTCATGCTGTCAAAAATGGCAGAATTTCCTACTAAAGAAGAAAAATGATTGACCAAAAAAGAACAGTCAGATCTATGAAATCAGATATTTCAATATGATGGGATAGAGTCTTAAACACCAGTAGGCAAAGGGCATTTAATTTAACAATATGAGGAAAAGTTCCTGTTTAGAAAAAAAAAAAAAAAGAAGTAAAGCCAAAGTAAAATCTCCACTGACAAAAGACTTAAGAATAAGAAATTAAACAGTAAGAAAAGAAACAATAATAAAAATAGGATGCACTGCAGCTCGACAGTTACTGATCTTAGGACAGGGAAAAAAAATCTCACAGCGTAAAATAGAAGTCAAAAGGAGTTACAACTATATGCAAAACCAAAAAATGTTCCCCCCCAAAAAGTTAAACAAAATTCAACAACAAAGATAAACTAAAAAAAAAAAAAAAAAAAAAAGTCAAATACCAGAAGAGAAATTAACATAATTAAGGTATAAAGAGCCATATATATACATGGAGAAATCACCAGGACATATCATTAGGTAAATAAAACATGATAGAAAAATACATATAATTTGCAATTTTCCCTAGTAGGGGGGGGTCACTAAGAACATATTTTCTAGTTTGTTTTACTTGAAAAATAAAATGCTAAAAGAAAAGCAAATAAGAAGCCCCAAAAAACAAAAATGAGGAAAGAGAATGGGAATAGATGATGGACGGAAAGCAAATTTCCCAAGTAAAGGAGTAAGATGTGTAGAAATAAACTTTTGTTATATTGTTTTGATTTTTTTGATCACATAACTAAATATAAAAATACACAAAGACCTCACACTAGAAAGAAAAACTAACCATGTTTGCTTTGTGTACTATAGTAAGCTGAATAATGATCACCCAAAGGTCTAACCCATAGAAACTTGTGAGAAACATGGAAAAAGTTCTACAGAGGTGATTAAGATTTTGAGATGAGGATTTTTTCTGGATTATCTGAGTTGGCGCTAAGTGACATCATAAGCATCCTTATAAGACGGAGCAGAGGAAGAGTGAATATACATAGAAGAGAAAGAGCCAATGTGACCACAGAGGGAAAGAATGAAATGAGGTGCCTACCAGTCAAAGACTGATACCAGAAACTGGAAGAAGCAAGGAAAGAAATATTCCCTAGAGCCTCCAGAGTGAGCAGAGCCTTGATAAATTCATGTGATACTGATTTTGGACTTCTGACCTCCAGGATGATGAAAAAATAAATCTCTACTGCTATAAGTCACCTAAATTTATAGTAATGTTATAGTAGCCACAGGAATTCACAGAAGGAAAACATGTTCAACAAACCTGAAAAATTCTCAATCAACACTGCTAATAATCACAGAATTGAAAAGTAAAGTAAAACACCATTTCTTCATTGTTAGTTTGGAGATAAAACCCCATACAACACTTCAGGCAAAGTTTCCAGTGAGACAGACACTCTGAATATATATTAGAACAATGGAGGTAGGGAGGAAAGAAGGGAGGAAAAACTATCTGGCAATATTATATCTTAAAATGTTATTACTCATGCAATAATCAAAATATACATGAAAAATATTTTACTTTGACCCCAAAATCCTACTTCTAAGAATCTATAAGAAAGATAATCAGACTTGCAATCAAAGACATAAACTCTTTAAATACTGGCTTATGAAAAAATATTTAATATGAAAAAAATTCTATTGTATAATGTTAACTGCACAGTGTGAAGATACAAACTGAGTAGACAGTATGCTCCCAATTACAGAAAAGGTGGAAATAAACATTAAGAGGGCATTGGGTATTTGGGTTATAGGAGTTCTTTTTTCCTTTATATCTGTATTTCTTGGTGCTTTATAAATTTTCTATAGTAACTATAAATGCCCTTAATCAGGAAAAAAAAAACTCTTCCAAACTTATGCAAATACTTGCAAAGAAAAGAAAACCTGAAAAAACACAGGGAAAAAAGTCATTCAGACTATGATGACATTCCCTTTGTAACAGTTGGAAATTACTCAGTGGGCTTGCTTTCAATGTTAATTGGCCTCTCTCAGTTACAAAATCAGGAAAATAACATCAGAAATTAGTTTTATACGGGTAATTCTTTACTGGATATATTTTTAAAATATGCATCAGCCCTCACTCTTCAAAAGTTTAATTGGATTCAGTTTTATAAACTACTTTTATTATCACAAGAGAATTTACTCATTCTTTACCTTATCATATAAATGACAAACCAAAAGTTGACTTCTTTGATAAAGAACAGAAGTAATTAGAAGTGAAAAATGGACTACAAATGCTGAAGGAGGTTAGAATTGCCCAGACTTCAACCAAAATCAAGTAAGTTATAGCAACAGCAGTTAAAATATCAAGAAAAATTTAAGACAAAGATAAAGTAAATTTAAAATAAAACTACACATAATTCAAATCTGATTTACCTTTTAAGCAGGTGCAAAAGGAGGGTAGTCAAAATAACAAGCTAATCTTCTTACTTCTCTCGTGGCTAAAAAATATTAAAACAACTCTAGTCTCTGAGCACAACAGACATCCATAGTGCCACTAACATCTGAAACTCAGAGAAGTCTAGAAGACTAATTCCCCAAACTACAGCTATTTACTCACCACCACCTTAATACTCTAATCCAGCACTGCCCAAGAAAACCTTCTGCAATTATGGAACGCTCTATATCTGTGCTATCCAATATGGTAATTGATATGACTAAAGAACTGAATTTTCAAATCTTATATATAGTACACCCTTGGTATCCTCAGGTATATAATTCCAAGGATACCAACACTGAGGGAAAACCACAAATGCATAGGATGCATAGAGTTCAGTGCTATACTGCAGATGCTTAATTTTTTTTCCCCTGTGATGCCATGCAACTTCAAGAAATCTAAAATTTTCACTGTCACTTAAATCAGTGTATTATATACCCTTTTTGGATTGGGAGGATTTCATTAACTTTTACCTTGCTTTTGGGGGGTACCATCTGTTTTTTGGAAAACATGTTTTCACAAAATTAAGGGCAGGAAAACACTCAACAGATCACACAACAATTTAAACACAACTGATAACACAATTGAGCAAGAGTATCTCCTCATCAACTGAGCTGCTTAATGAGTATGACAAGAATTTCAAACTTGCCAGGTGCCAGTGGCTCACACCTATAATCCCAGCTACTCAGAAGGCAGAGATCAAGACTTTCAAAGCCAGCCCTGGCAAACAGTTCTGCAAGAGCTTATCTCGAAAAACCCCTCACAAAAATAGGGCTAGTGGAGTGGCTCAAGGTGAAGGCCCTGAGTTCAAGTCCCAGTACCTCAAAAAAAAAAATTAAAACTTTTGATTTTGAAATTTCTTTCGATCTTATAGTAAATCTGTGAATATGGTAAACTTATTATAATTTTAATTTAAATAGCCACATGTGGCTGATGGTCACCAAATTGGAGAGCACAACATGAATCTGTGTCTATGCGTGTAAAGTATTCGTTTTAGTGGGTTTCATTCATTTTTATTCACATTCATTATAAAATAAGCTTCTACACAGAAATAAGTTCACTTCCTTATAATTTCAACTTCCTTACTGAAGCACGCAATAGGTAGACAAATGCATAGTCAACATTTGGTAAAATACTTTACCAGCTCCATCTGAATCTTCTACCATTGGATTTATTTCTACCATAGTTGCATCATATTTCAGAAAAAGGTTATAAAGCTTGATCATGTTTTCTGCAGCAGAATCCACAAGATTAGGTGGAAATCCCATCTTCTGTGCAAGCTGAAAGCAATTTGTCTTTTTATTATAAGTAGTAGTTGGGTATGTCAAAACAGCATTAAAGTAGTGTAAATTAAAAGACCTTGTTTATCATTTAAAAGTAGACATGATATACTTGTAGTCAAACACCTATCACTGAAATACCAGATACTACTACTAAATGGTTCAACAAAACCTTCTATTCAAAATCCTCACACAGCAGGTATTATGCCCATTTTACAGAGGAGAAAAAGATTCAGAGGTCAAGTGACTTGTCATTCACCTAGGTTACAGTCCCAGTGCTCATTCCACAGCCACCATACTGCCTCTAAGCCTTATGGCCAACCTAAAAAAAGAGGTTTGTATTTTACTAAAACTACATATAAAAGTGGATTGACAATCAGAATAGTCCAAACAATGGCCAAAATATTAAATTACTCTATTTGACCTTTTAGGTAAGTTGGGAAGAATGTCTGCAAGGTAATGAGGACATATAAAGAATTATTCCATTCATTTGAGAATGTACTGAATGCCTAATATATACCAGGTACTGTGCCAGGCCCCAAAGATAAGGGTATTTTGAGCTTCTAATCTGGTAGAAATGTTTACACTCTTGAGCAGAGATTCCTAATTAGAAATACCTGTAGAGCTTTTCAAACAACAAAATATCAAGATTGCAATCCAGAAGTTCTGTTTCATAAGTTCTGTAGTAGACCAAGCATTTTAACAGTTTTACAGTTCCACAAGCAATTCTGTAACACTGATACGGAGGATAGTGTCTGAATGTTCATTCCTTTGTGTGTGTGTGTGTTTTAGTAGGAATTGAATTCAGGGTCTTGCTAGGCAATCACCATTTGGGCCATGCTCTGTGTGTGTGTGTGTGTGTGTGTGTGTGTGTTTTAGTAGGAATTGAATTCAGGGTCTTGCTAGGCAATCACCATTTGGGCCATGCTCCTAGTCCTTTTGCTTTTAGTTTGCTTGCAGGCAAGATTTTATACTTTGTCCAGGCTGTACTCTAACCATGATCCTCCTATATCCACTTCCCAAGAAGCTGGAATTATAAGCATGTGCCACCATGCACAGCTTGTTTTTGAGATAGGATCTGGCCAACTTTTTGACCAGGGTAGCTGGATTACAGGCAAAGTGTCTGTATGCTCAATCTAACAATGCAGCCACTGCTCAGGAACACTAAAGAGAATGATTTCCTCTTTTTTCTACTGCTATTAAAAGCTGCAACACATTCTCCTGATTTTCAACTACAAAGAATCTTAAATTCTTGAAAGTGAATATGATTTTGGAGTCGAGTGCCAATAAATAAAATGGCTGATCAAACAAAGGAATGTAATTTTTAGTTAAGACCGATTTCAAATACAGAATAGAATATAAAGTAAAATATTTTTCATTAAGAAAGATTTTTCTTCTATCACAACTTACTATTTCTATAGGCTAAAACATTTGAGAATCCCAATATAATTCTGGCCAATCCACTATGATATTAATTTACCAAGCACAGCAGCAGGTATCATTTCTGCTCCACATTCAAAATGTTATACTCTTAGCATATTTTTCTTCTTGTGAATAAAATGTTTTCTTCCTCATCTGAATTTCACTCTTCAGTCACCATTCTCATATACCTAATAAATCAAATCTCTGTCCTTTTAAACATTTATGGTATTAATTTGCATAAATTATTTGCTTCACTATTCCCACTCTCCTTTTAAACCTTGTGCCAAACTTTTGCTCTTGCTATACTTCAATAAAATAACCTTACTATGACATCATTTTTTCACTAATAGATGGTTAATTTCTCACTAACCAATGGTTAATTTCAAAGTTTAATATTCAAACTTTTAAAATGAATCACTTATTTTTATAGCCAAACCAAATAATTTAATTACATAACAGCATTACAAATACTACCAAGGAATTCTCACTTTATCTCTTTTTTTTGGAGGAAGCACAGACAGTATGGGCTAGAAGGGAAGGACAGTACTAAAAACAGTGAGGTTATAAGTAAACTTTATTCTGTATGTGTATACACTGAAAAAAAATCCACAGGATTCATGAGATTCTCATGTGTCCATAAACATCCTCAAAATAAATCTTCTGACCTATCATAGAGATATGTAAGACAGTCTTCTTACCCTTCTATACAATTTACAGTAAATAAAGGAAACCCAGGAACATTTAAAATGACACAAAGGGGATGTAAAATTCAAACTATGAGAAACAATGAATGACAATCATCCCAGTTTCTTCAACAAATAAACTCGAATTTAAAAAAAGATGGAAAGAGTGAGGAAAATGAAAACTATAAATTTGAAAAACACCCATATGAGACATATTAACCAAAAACAGTGCAGGACCTTACATGGATCCTGAGTAAAATAAATTTCAAAAGAAACCGTAATTTGAGAAAATTAGGAAAATTTAGATGAATGGATAAGTGAAGATACTAAAGATCATAGATATTTAAAATACGGCAGATACTCTCAAATATTACAATTTTAAGTAAGGTATTAACTTATCTTGACACTCAAAATTTTTTAAAGTTTGACAATCACTTCATTTGTATGAAGTTAATTATCCTCAGTTAAGTATTACAATTCTGTATTTACAAAGTAAAACTCTTTCAGAATACAACATACCCGGACAGCTTGTTCCTTTCTGATGCCTTCTACAATATCAATAGGTTCTTTAACTATGGCTTCAGGGCTCTCAGCAGCAACATCTTCAATGTTAACACCACCTTGTGAACTTCCTATTAACACAGGACCCTAGCAAGGAGGAAAAGAGACAAAATAGGTAGATTTTATTTTAAACTCATAAAGTTTTAAAACCTATACACACTATCAGACTTAGCATCTACTAATATTTTAAATTTTCCTTGTGAACTTATCCTCATATATCTGTCACAGTACTCCCTTATAAATGTTCAAATGAAGCCACAGAAAAAAAGCAAAAAGAAAACAAAGATGATGGCCTATACGTGAGGGAGAAAGTAAAAATATACATGAAAACTTATACCAAGTAAGTAAATATAATCATGTGCATTTAAGATAACCAATGCAGTTTTGTATGAACTTGAGAGACAAAGTATTGCTCAAAGTAGAACCATTAGAAAGTCATGAGAAATTAGTCAAGATGGTGGCTAGAGGGAGGAAGCAGAAAGCGAGCCTCCTATAGTGAAATCTTGGAGAGATGCTGGAGACACACCTTGCAGGCAAAACCACCGAGAAGAGGCAAAACTTTGACCCCTCCACACATCCAGCCGGCACAGAGAATCTCCACTTCACGTTAAACGGAGAAACCAGGAAGGCCCCGGGGCCTCCAGTCGCCTGTGCGCAGACGGCTTAGGAAGACACAGACAAGGTGAGCTTAGTGGTACCGCGGTTCTCTCACAGACAACCCTGGGACAGATCAGCATAACCCCCTGGACAGACCGACCTCCCCCCGGAGAAAAGAGAAACTGAGTAATAAGCAATAAGAACAATAAAGACACGTTGGAAAGAGGGTGGGGTGCACTGAGCATCAAAGGGGGTGGAAAGGAATCCTTCCCGGAATTGTAAATAAACAAGCCAGGCCGGGCCAGAGAGGCTCCAGCAGGAGCAGGGGCATGCGCCCAGCAACCAGGAGCGGGAAACTTGTGAGAGTGGCCCAGGGAGGAAAACTCCACAGGAGAGGGGGGAAGACCCACCTCCCACATGAGCTGTAAACAAACAGCAGGCCTGAGAAAGTGGGTGCAGTGTCACCTCCCCCAGTGTGCTTAGAAAGGGGAAAGCTTGTAGCAGAGGCTCACACACAGGAGAACTCTGAGTAAAAAAAGCCTGCGGGGCCAGGTGAGTATTAAGCTCACCCCTGAGATCTGCACAGATAAAACCTCCAGCAACAGCAGGCTGACAGCAGTGGGCAGGCAAGCCACAGCCGCAGATACCATTCACAGAACTGTCTCCAGACTCTTTTTTTTTTTTTTCTCTCGCCCTACCTTTGATGAGAAAACAACCAAACTACACCTGCATGCTGAAAAACTTACTGAAACTATATTGCATTTGAACTTGGGACACTTTGTGGGTTTTGCGTGTGTGTGTGTGTGTTTGTTCTACTTAATGCATTCCCCTTGATGAGACAACTACAGAACAACATCTAAGGCACCATCTCCAGGACTGGAGACTGAGACGGACACCAAAATTATTAAGATTCAAACTTCATTGCACTTGAACATGGAGGGTTTTTTTATTTTTATTTTTTATTTTCTATTTTTCATTTTGTTTTATTTATATATTTTTTCCATTTATTTTTTATTTTTATTATCTTTATTCTTTTTATTTATTTTTTATTTTCAATCCTCTCTGTCTGTCTAATGCCTGCTCAGCTTACTGTCGAATAGTACACCAACGTTCCCTGTTTATACTTTTGAAACTTTGTTGTTTGATTCCTTGTTTTGTTTTTTCCTACTTGTCTGTTTGTTTTTCCCTTTTTCTTTAACTTCTTGCTTTCCATCTCCTCTCACCCTTCCATTCTAAATATTACATTGTTATTATTACAACTAGAAAATACTTAATTGCACACAGTACAGGGACAGTAACAACACCAAGACAATGAATGGGAAGACAGAAAAAAACAGGGAAACCAGTTTCCCACAGCCAAAAATTAACTACAGGAACCAGAGGGGAAATGAGAAAACAGATACTCAGATCCAGACTCCAAAAAATGAAGATAAACTATGCCAAAGGACCAATGAAGCCCACAAGAATAATTTAAAAGAAAGACATACTACAGTACTCAATGAGATTTTATAGAGATGATACTGGATAGGGTCAACCAAAATGTACAGGAGACTCAAGAAATTCCAAGACAACAAAACTAGAGATTTGAAAAAGCAAAGAAGAAATAAAGGAAACCATAGAAGCACTGTATAAACACCAAATGAAACAGAGAACACATTAATAAACAGATAAATGAACTCAGGACAAAAGACAAAACATTAAAAAAGAGGAACCTCCAGGATATGGAAAACCTCAGAAAAAAAGAATGAAAGAACTGCAAAACAAAGGGAAGGCCAATCCAGCAGAACAGAACAAACAGAAGACAGAATCTCAGAACTTGAAGATGAAATGGTAATTAAAGGAAAAACCGAAAGAACTATTAATTAAACAACTCAAGACGTGTGAAAAGAACTTCACAAACTCCATCAAAAGACCAAACTTGAGAATCATGGGCATCGAAGAAGGAGAAGAGGTGCAAGCAAAGGGAATGGTAATATATTCAAAGATAAATAAGAAAATTTCCCAAATCTAGAGAAAGATATTCCCATACAGATGCAAGAGGGCCTCCAGGAACAAACAGACCAGATCAAATAGAACTAACCCATACGACATATCATTCATTAAAACAACAAGTTCAGAAAACTAGGAAAGATATTGAAGGCTGTAGAGAGAAAAAACAAATAACATACAAAGGTAAACCCATCAAAATCACAGCAGACTTCTCAACAGAAGCATAACAAGAAGAGCATGGGGTGAGATCTTCCGGACACTGAATGAAATAACTTCAACCCAGGATACTCTACCGCAAAACTATCATTCAAAATAGATGGAGCAATAAAGTCTTCCATGATAAGCAATAACAAACAATATGTGAACACAAAGCCAACACTACACAAGATTCTTCAAGGGATCTGCACACAGAAAGTGACCCAACATAACCATGAAAAGACAGGCAGCACCAACTACAGGAAAAGAAAAAGCAAGCAAAGTAGAGAGTAACCTCAACTTAGGTGCACACAATCAAACCTTCAACAACTAAGACAAACTAAAGACAGGAATCACCACATACCTAACAGTACTAACGCTTAACGTTAACAGCTTAATTTCAAACCATCAAAAGACACCGTCTTGACGAAAATGGATTAAAAAGGAAGATCCAACAATTTGTTGCTTCAGAGACCAATCCACCAACAGAATAAGCAATAGGCTTAGATGAAAGGCTGGAAGAATAGATTTAACACAAGCCAATGGCCCCGAAAACAGGCAGGTAATACAAAATTCTCTACAAAATAGACTTCAACCCTACCCCTGATCAAACAAGCTAAAAAGGACATTCCATCTATATAAAAGGGTAATAGAACCAAGAAGGATATAACAATCCATTCAAACCTGTATGCACCATGTCAAAGGCACCCAATTTCATCAAACAAACCTGAAAAGACCTAAAAGCATACATTACCTCCAACATACAGTGGTTGTGGGAAGACTTTACACTCCAATTTATCATCAAATGGATAGTCATCCAAAAAAAAAATCAATAAAGAACATTCCTAGATCTAAGGTAAACACCCTAAAACTACTAGCATTTTGTTGCCCTTAAATGCAGAAGAAACTAAAGCAGATACCTTAAAGCAACTGAGGCCAATAGGAAAAGGGGACCAGGAACTAGAGAAAAGGTTAGATCAAAAAAGAATTAACCTAGAAGGTAACACCCATGCACAGGAAATCCAATGTGAGTCAATGCCCTGTATAGCTATCCTTATCTCAACCAGCAAAACCCCTTGTTCCTTCCTATTATTGCTTATACTCTCTCTACAACAAAATTAGAGATAAGGGCAAAATAGTTTCTGCTGGGTATTGAGAGGGGGGAGCGGGAGGGGGTGGAGTGGGTGGTAAGGGAGGGGGTTGGGGCAGGGGGGAGAAATGAACCAAGCCTTGTATGCACATATGAATAATAACAGAAAAATGAAAAAAAACAAAGAAATCCTAGATCTAAAATATACAATAGATCAAATGGACCTAATTGATGTCTACAAATATTTCATCCAATTCTACAAAATATACATTCTTCTCAGCAGCCCATGGAACCTTCTCCAAAATAGATCATATCCTAGGGCACAAGCAAGCCTCAGCAAATATAAAAAAATAGAAATTATACCATGCATACTATCTGATCAGAATGCAGTAAAAGTAGAACTCAACAACAAAAGTAAAGACAAAAAACATGCAAACAGCTGGAAACTAAATAACTCATTACTTAATGAACAATGGATCATTGATGAAATAAAAGAGGAAATTAAAAAGTTCCTGGAAGTCAATGAAAATGAAAACAACAACTACCGGAACCTATGGGACACAGCAAAGGCAGTACTGAGAGGAAAGTTTATAGCCATGAGTGCATATATTAAAAAGACTGAAAGATCCCAAATCAATGACCTAATGATACATCTCAAACTCCTAGAAAAACAAGAACAAGCAAATCCCAAAACAAGTAGAAGGAGAGAAATAATACAAATAAGAGCTGAAATCAATGAAATAGAAACCAAAAAAACCATACAAAGAATTAATGAAACAAAAAGTTGGTTCTTTGAAAAAATAAACAAGATTGATAGACCCCTGGCAAACCTGACTAAAATGAGGAGAGAAAAAACCCAAATTACTAGAACCACGAATGCAAAAGGGGAGATAACAACAAACACCATGGAAGTCCAGAAAATCATCAGAGACTACTTTGAGAACCTATATTCAAATAAATTTGGAAATCTTAGATACATACGATCATCCAAAACTGAACCAAGGGGAACTTAATCACCTGAATAGATCTATAACACAAAATGAAATTGAAGCAGCAATCAAGAGGCTCCCCAAAAAGAAAAGTCCAGGACCTGATGGATTCTCTGCTGAATTCTATCAGACCTTTAAAGAAGAACTGATACCAACCCTCCTTAAACTGTTCCACGAAATAGAAAGGGAAGGAAAACTGCCTAACACATTTTATGAAGCCAGTATTA